ATATTACTTGTATAGGTTTTTTTGTGACTAATATTGTATTTATATTTAGATGAAAAGCTTTCATCGAATATTTTCAAAAATCAGATTAGAACACTATTTATTACAATTGATAATAATAAGGAGACGACATTGACGGTGGTAAACATATGCGATTATATTTTGACTGGTTTCGCTAATCTACTTTATTTAAAATTATATGAATCATCGTATAAAAATCGTCTTCGATTATTGTTTGACGATCCACCTCCTCCTACTTTTCATTCTTCAACTCTTCAGAAATTGAATATCAAGATTCAATGTTTTGATGATTGTCTTTATTTTCTCGATGGTCGTTTTAATCAACTTAACACGCTCTTTGTTGATTTGCTTAGTATTCGACTTCCGGAGGAAATTCATAATCAAGTTAGTTTTACAAGAAAAACCTCTATGTTGTTAAATAACAAAATAAATATTCCTATTTTTTAGAGCGATTTACCAAATCTAAAATGTTTTTCTCTTTCCTGTGATTATGAAACAAATTATTACGATGAATTAATCCTCCCACTTCTCTATCGAATGTCAAATCTAGAACAACTCGGTTTGTATATTGCGGTCTTTGTTGATAAAACATTTATTGATGGAAACAATTTGAAGAGAAACATTATTAATTCTATGCCACGATTAAATCAATTTACATTTTATATTCGCTCATTCATGTCTATTTGTAATAAATTGAATTTGCCATCAACAGAAGATATTCAACGCACATTCATTGACTTTCCAAAGAATGAAATCATTTCTTATGTTGATTATTTTCCAGAGGCAAAACAAGTTCTATGTCATATTTACTCATATTCATCTCCAATGCAATATTACAGTTATATTACAAATAATTTTCCTGATGGATTATTCAAATATGTACGTGTAGTGTCATTATTCGATGAACATCCTTTTGAACATGAATTTTTTCTTCGAATTCAGAAATCATTTCCATTTATGGAACGATTATGTGTGATTAATCATAAATCACAAAATCACAAACAATCTTATGAATCAAACAATGACAATCGAATTTCATCTGTTATTGAATATTCTTTTCTTAGTGAACTTGATATTGACGATGTCCATGATGATTATATAGAACAATTTCTATTTGATACTAAAACGTATTTGCAAAGTAATGTTCTTCTTTATATCAATTATGAATCTTTAAAACGGTTAACACACAATTTCAAAAGAGATGCTACACGAATTAATTGTGCCAAAGTAAATGAACTAAAATTTCGTAGCGGAGCAAAATGTCCGAATTCTTCTTTACAAGAATATTTTCCTAATGCAAAAATATATTATCGAGGAATATTTTGAAAGACAAAATAAAGTATTAAATTAAAGACGAATAGAATAAGAGAAATTTGTCTTGTTTATTGTTGTAAGAAAATAAAATCTATATAGAAATGAAAAAGATTATGTGTGATGTGTAGTAATCTGTGAAATAAATTAATTTTGTTTAAATAAATATATGTGTAATGTATTAAATTCGAAGAGAAGTTCTGCAAGTTTTTTGTTTAGCACTAAACATTTTAGGTGAACGATATGTATCATCAACCGAACTGATCGCCATTCGTTTCAACCATATTCTTTCATATTGGTGGGAATTGTTCGATTTCATGTTTGTAGAAACTAGCTGATTATGATTCGGAAAATAGACAGTGAAGTCTGAAATGAATTAAATGAAGTTTATGTAATGTTTATTGTGCAGATGATTTCGAAGTGATCAAAACAAATAGTCATCTGACAGTGCAAGATCTGATAAGTGCTAAAATCTATGTTATTGAAGTCTATTAAAATAGATTTATCATTGATTGAAACATTTATTTAGCATTCGTTTAGTGAGTAGTCAGTGTGTCAAGGATTCTTTTCTATGAAAATGATAATCAGGTAAAATAATACTATTTATTTAAAGTAAAGGATCTGTTAAAGGAATGTCCATTTATTTTTATATAATTAAACTAAGATTTATTATTTAAATAATCGTTTGAATAAGAATTTAAATTCTATAATATAGAACAAATCTTATATTTAAATAGATAAATAATAATCGTACTCTATTATATAATAAATGATGATTCGAATAGAATTTGACGATAAAGATTTTTATATAAGAAAAGGAAATAAAAGGATGAGATGATGAGATTGAAAAAACGTTTATTTGATAAGATGAGTTAATCTAATATTATATATAGAAATGAAATCAATTTTATAAAATTTCATTACTGATTTTATTTGAATAAATAATCTATCGTTATTGAATATATTTTATAATAAATTAACGTTAAATAACCTCTTCTCAAATATAACAAAATCAATTGAGAATGTTGAAAATGAATAAATGAAGATAATTTTATATTTTAAATATATCTACCTCCTCTCACATGTCAATATAATCAATTTTGACCTAAATTACATTTGCAATCAGAAAATCAATAAAAATCAACTAAACTTTTTTTTATTTAACAAAAAAACAAATTGATTTTAAAATAAAACGTTTCGAAAACTTTTATGAAATAAAGCAAGAAAATATGATATTGGATCGTTGAGCTAGAGCATGAAAATCCCATAGATATGATTTAATAAATTGTCGATTTAAACAATTCGATAAATAAACTAATATTTTATGACAACACAAGAATTTGATCATAATTAAATAAAATATATTCAACGTTTATTATTTCGATTAAAATGAGGAAAACAACGTCTATATTCATAATGAGATTATTCATTTAAATAATTTGTTTCATCAGTCCAATTCTTAACTATATATTCAAATCAACAACCTAAATTTATTTCATTTCAATCAGATTATTTATAATAATTATATTTTACTTTTTTTTTTTATTCCGGACATTTTATTTATTATTCAATTAGATTTTATATATATTTGCATTTATTTATAGATCTTATCATTTTTTTTTCTTCTTTTATTTAACATTTAGTCTCAATTAGTTCTTAACAATTATTTATAGAAATATTTTTATATGTTAACTCAGTCAAAAAGTAATCCGAGTGATAGTTAAATACCATCTTATAATCTTTAATAAACGTTTTTCTCAATATACTCTGATGAGAGAAAACGAATAGGCGATTTTATCATAGTTTTATTTATCTATTTATAATAACAATAGAACGATAAAAACAATTTTATTTCAATCTATCACGATCACAGAAGTGATAGCCAAGATTTTGTTGAATGACTTCTCATAGAAATAAAAGAGAATTGCAATGTTTTATCGTTGAAAATAAAAGATGAAGATGCATCGAAACATATTTTATCCATTTTTCTAATATTCATTTTTCAAGTATTTTTTGTTCGATTTTCTAACATTCAAGAAAATCTTCTTCTTCATAAAGAAAAAAGAATGAGACAAAACGTGACTTTTTTCCATAGGAATTCCTGTAAACGAGGATAATAAGGTGCACTAAAGTACGTATTATTCATCTAAGATTTCCATAGTTTGTAGATCTTTATTAAAAGTTGACTGTAAACAACTTCTCGGACAGGTTTCCTCTTAAAAAACGTTAATTGAAAATATTATTAAAAAAAGCTCGTAATAGACGATCTAATGTATCTTTACTTCTCTTTCCAACAGTGAAAAGTGCAATAGCCTATTTTATTTTTGACAAAAGTTATTCAAAAAACTAGTTATCTGCCCTCTTATAACAGTGATTGATAGGTAACCGCGAAACATAGAAATAAAATAGTTTTTATCGTTCTATTGTTATTATAAATAGATAAATAAAACTTTGATAAAATCGGCTATTCGTTTTCTCTTGAATAGTATATTGAGAAAAACGTTTGTTAAAGATTCTAAGATGGTATTTAACTATCACTCGGACTAGTTTTTGACTGAATTAACGTATATAAATATATCTACGTATTTATAAAATAATTATTTTAACTGATAAAAGTTGAAATTAAATAATATAATAGAAATCATATTGAAATATCGAGAATTCTTATTAATAAAATGTCGATTTTGTTTTAATATATAATCTTAGAGGTAATTAGATATGAATTGTTCAATTAAAATAATAAAATAATAACAAAATGTTACTTTTATTTCTATTTTATCTAATAAAAGTCGAAATTTGAATAGATCCATCATTTTCAGTTGTTCCTAATTGAACTGTTATTTGGATGAAATCAGATTTTATTAAATGTATCTTGTCCATGTGGATAGATAACTGACGGCGCTGGCTGAACCTTTTAAGCATGGATGATGGTGTGGATGTGAGTGAGGATGAGAACGCTGAACTTGAAACCGTTTTTTGTTTGGTGTGCAACCTTTGTCGTGCACATCATTGATAGAAGGTTAATATTATTTAAAGAAAAAACTCTTTCTATACTATTAGTTAGGATATATTTACTTATTAATTGTAATTCAAATTCAATTTTTTTTCTCTGAACGTCTATAGAGAGACAGATTGGATATATTCATTTCAAACAAATTCCTATCCAATATCTATTTTCAATCATTATTCTTTATTAGTTCTATCTCTCTCTTTCAATCGTTTAATTCTATGTAAATCAATCTACTTTTATTCATGTTTTATTTAAGTAACAAATTAACAATAATTTATCTATTTGTGTATGAGGAAAATAGTCTTTTATATATTGAGGAAGTTGTTGTTTTTCACCAGAAAAATTTTAATAATATCCAGCATATTCTATTTCTGCAGATAAATTTACGTAATTAATCTTCGCAGAATTAGTTCTTGTTCTATTTCTTGTGAAATTGCGTGTCACTTGTTTGACTAATTCATAAATCATATAAACACGAAGATCAAATTATAAATTGATTTTCGTATCGAATAAGAATTGTTGATAATAATCTCAGGACGTATCAATAAGATAAAGTTGTTTAAGATAAGGATATTTAATGATTGTTAAGTCTTGATTTTGAGAATTGTTTATTAATTTGTCGTTGTTGATTATGTATAGTTAATTCTTCCATCAATGGAAATTATTTTTGAATTCGAAGGAAAAATTGATATTGAAAAGGACGTTGATCATATAATTCAACTTGACCAACATATTTAAATATTCCACTTGGATAATTATTTGTTATTTTATTATAATATTTCAGTTGATATCGATATGAATAAATCTGACAATAAACTTTTTTTACTTTTGGAAAATAATCAGTCGAATAGATAATTTGTTTATGATTAAAGTGAGTAAATCTATTTTGAATATGTTCATTTGATGGTAAATAAATATCATTATAAAATCTACTTAATGAACAAATATAAAATGTGAATTTGTTTAATTGTGTCATAGAATTAATAATATTCATCTTGAAATGATAACTATCAATAAATTTATTTCTTTCACCAACATAAATATAGAAATCAACCTTTTCGATATTTGTTATTCGATGTAAAAGTGGTAAAACAAATTCATGATAAAAAAATCTTTCTACATTCGAGTGTAGCCAAAAGGATTTAAAACGAGCTAGTTTTTCCTAGAAGAAAAAACAATATTATTAATTCATTTAAATAAGATATTAATTGAAAAAATAATTAACTATCTTGTTAACTCTTTTCTTCTAATACCCAATGACATAGAGATCAACATGAAGTCTATGAAGTTGATTGAAATCTCCATCAAGTAAATAAAGACAATGAAATTTTAATAAATAATAGTTGGACGTCTAAAACAAAAGGATAATCGTTGATCGGAAATTGAAGATCAACCAAAATTTCAATATTGTAAATTAGTAAAGATAGTAAACGATAGGATTAAATATAATTCCATTATTGTTTGGTAGATAATCTTCTCTTCTCTTTCTACTAATATCGATAGTAACTGATAAAAGTTTATTATTCAATTAAGGAATTATGGAACGTTTCATCTAAAGAATGATAAGAGTCAAAAATTCGTTTTATATCAATGATTATATTTATCTATGCTTTAGTGATTTTTTAAAGTAATGATATTATTGAAATATTTTTAATTTTTTTTCTTTAGACTTATTTATTTCTATTGTATCTCAAATGTTATATTAACTATCTATTTTATTCGAGATTTTATTTTTGAAATATTTCTTTGAAACTTTAAATTGGAGATAATATCTACGTAGTTTTTTTTTCTATATAAGTACATAACTGTTATTATCTAATTAATGAAACGAAAAATTTATCTAGGAATTTATTTCGTTTATAGATTTCATGTCTATTATTGAAAGAATAATAGAAAAAAAATCTTACTAGTAAAAAGATCTATACCTTTTTTTTATTGAATATTATCTAAACTAATTCGATATAAATAAGGATTATTTCTAACATGAAGAATACCTTCCATTCAAACTGATTCAAGATGAAGCCATTCGATTTTTTTATCAATCGAAGGTAAAATATGTCAATAAAATCGATCAAGTATTAGATGAGATAATCAATAAAGAAAACCATCCGATGTTGACATAAAATGAGAGAAATCATTTGTAAAAATCGAGTGATGTACTATTTTATTTAATCGTTTATTGACACATGATAAAGAATAAACTATTTCTGCATTAGAGAATTTTTTTAAAATCTAAATAAGAATTTCATCTGGTAAATGATTCAATTGAATAGATGAATATTCGATGATTATCTATATCTATATCTCATTGATGTCAATATATTCAAATATTCTCTATCTGACCGATGTCCTCCATAGAAATAATGATACATTTTTTCTATTATCTTAATTGATGATCAATCAATGGATAATCATTCGAATAAGATTTTTTTTTCTCTCTCTATTCCTTTGAATGAGTATGTAATCATCGATTGACCTAAATATAATGAAATTGATTTATTTAACGAGGATGTCGGTGTGGATGGGAGTCTTTGTTAGTATATCCACAGGCCACCATAATCATGTGTAGTTAGTAGTTAGTTGATGATGATGATTATACTCTTTAGATTTAATCGTACTTCTAATCTATGTTGATAGTCGAATGGTGTCGAAGTTGTTCTTATAAAAAAAAGAGTATGTGAACTCGACTTTTATCTAGGAAAAAATTTTCTGCTTGCACATGCGCTTGTAAGTATGGAAGTTTGATTAGGTTAAAAATAAAAAGGTCTTCATAAATATATTCTCATAGATATGAAATAAAAACAAAAATTTTCTGGAACGTCACTTTTTACCGTCGTTCTCGTTCTCATGTTTTCATTCTCGAATTATTTACGGAAATTCCCATTTCCAATGCCCGCGGCAAACGGGACGGGAAAATTCGGCAAAAAAAATCGTTCTCGTAAGACACTAGTTCAACACATAGATTTTACAAGTTTTGTTTTTTTTTTGTTTCATAATGTCCTAGCATATTTTATCGAAATCCACTATAAATATATTAATTATTCTACTATTTATTGTTTTGTTTGACTACAAAAAATGACCTTGTCTAAATCTCAGCTTTTATTCAGTGAAATCACT